CTCCTGCCTCCCATAAGCTCTGCTAGCTTTTGCTCTACGTCTTCTGTTCGCTCCAGGGTAGTAGCTTTCTTCATGACTTCTTGCTGACTTGTGTGATGCTGAAAGCTTGTTTTCTTCCTCTAATTTCTGTTGCACACTCTTAATGATATTGAACTCCTGGATTCAGCGAGGAAATGGAGGCTTTTAGAATGTCTTATAAAGAAGAACTACGAAAATTTCCTTTTCAGTGTAATAGACATAGATCAATATCCTTTCATTTTATTTGGCACTTTTAAATGATACTGAGTATCGCCTCCCAACACAGCCTTTCAAAAGTCAGCTTCGTATACAAAGCTAAATTAATAGTTACAGTAGTTCTTCTACTTAGGATAGTTCATTGTACAGTAATTTAGCTGTTCGTCTTTCCTAGCTCTAAGAACAAACACTAACGACAACAGACAGGGAGCAATAATCTTAAGGGGGAAATTTTGGATACAATCTCCAGAGGTCCTTCATTAGGCAATCTCTGGGGCTTACATATGCATCCCATGGGACTTGTGGTGCTTCTTGAAAAAATGAGAGCCTGCCACTCACCACTGCTTTTGAAATCCATTAAAAATATTAAAAAGCAGAGGTGGTCTTTATGTGGCAGAGATGATCGCAATTTGAAAAAACAAACAAACACCAAAAAACCCACAAGCCTAAAGCACAGCTAGAGACTCGAGCAAGCTGTGTTTGTGGCCATAGTTTGCTGTTTGTTGGCATTTTTGGTACACTTACGTTTAGAGTGAAGACTATCTGAATGATTTGAGGACAAAGTAGCAGTTAAACAGTTCATTTATCCCCAGTTGTTGGGACCTGATACTATATTTGAAAGGTATCTATTTTTTTTCCTTTATGAAAAAATAACATGTAAATGAATGTGCTATAGCCAAGGTTTAAAGAGTAGGACAAAGTATCCCAAGCTTTCAGTATTCCATATGGAGATCATTCCATTCCTAAAAATGTCTGCTGTTAAGACATCAGCTCTATACAAAGTACTATACATTTTCAAAGGCCTGACTTAGGAATGACGACATTAAAATGCACTGTTGGTTACAGAAATGGTTGTAAACTTTTGTTTAGTGTTTTCCTGCAATTTGCTTGCAGGTGAAAGGGCCAAAGATGAATTGTCCAGAGTACTTGCCACTGAGAGGGTTATAATGCATTCCATTTGAAGCAGCACTGGGTGCAGCAAGTCCTAGAACTGGTGCACATGAGATGGGCGCTAAATGGAATGTGCTTTAAGCTGCTTCTTGCAGCAAGTGCTGCCATGCGGCAAACAGTGGCTTGCCATAGCAGCTGTGTGGCTTTTATTCACACTACCACAAACATTGGCATAGTGGCATGCAGGGGGGAAAATCATTCTAGTCTCTACACATAAATGATATAGCACAATGAGGCAGTTCCATGTGGTTTTCATAGTGATTGTTTCATTATCCAAAATATAGCAGATAGTTGTGCCATTAGCAGTACAGCATCCTACATGTTGGGAGCATAAGGCTAAACATGGTTTGCAGCATTTCTAAGAAATCCAGTTTTCAATTTGTCACTTTTATATGTTATGCAGTAATGTATCCAGATTGGGGAAACCGTGGCTTTAAATATATAATTCCTAAGGTTGTACTAACTTTTTCATCATATATGCCAGTAGCCCATCAAATAATTACATTTATTTACAATTGGATATATTCTTCTCTTCAGTTTACTGCTTTTTATTCTTTTGCATGCTTTATTTTTCTTCTCTTCAGCTTTGATGAGCCTTCTTTATTTTTCCTCAGTTTTTTTGTTTTGTGTTGTTTTGCCCAGAATGATTGCATATTGTAGCATAACTTTGTGGGAGTTTTTTGCTCTCATGATCACAGCATTCTTCTTGCATACTTGCAGAATCTTGCCCCATTGTATCTGAAGAAACAGAATCTTAAATGGTAAGTATTGGTGCAAACAGTATCGCATGTATTTTAAAACAACAACACAGAGATATACAAATCAGAGACATGCAGATCACTGGTGGAACTTCATATAGATATCTTTTTCTGACTACACTAAGGACCATCCCCTTTCACTCCAACAACTCTCTATTCTAAGTTGCCCTGTAATGTCATGTGCCTACTGTCAGAAATAAGATGGCACAGCAGAAAATGAAATAGAGAAGATTAGAGCATTGGGCTACCTGAAAAAGAGAGCTGCAGGGAGAAAAATGCTCCTCGGATCTGTTGCCAATAATGTTCGGAGTTTTTTGTTGTTGGAAAACTTGCAGGAGCTTGATGAAATCTCTGTTCCTGTGTGCCCTTATTAACAGCACAGATCTTGAGTTCCCTTCTTGCTTTCTGCTTTCATATTATTGTATTATATTGAAGCCTGCTCAAAGATGGTGGCAGGAGTTTCGGGAAGAACAAGTTAGGAGGAAATTGCTATGCATATATGTGGTGCTTAGACATCGGGTCAAATTTTTCATAGTGGATTATTGAAGAAATTGCGATTGCAGAAGTCTTTTGGCTGAGTTGAGATGTTACATGAAACCATAGTGCTCAAGCATTGGGCTAATGCATTTGCTCTTCCAGCGTCATGAGGTGCGTATTGGAAGCTTTAATTTCAGTTTTCAACTAACTGTAGTGTGTTATGTCTGAATTCAAAATGTTGTTAGTCTTTCCTATGGCTTAGACCAGGCATCCCCAAACTCGGCCCCCCAGGTGTTTTGGGACTACAACTCCCATCACCCCTGACCACTGGTCCTGTTAGCTAGGGATCATGGGAGTTGTAGTTCCAAAAACATCTGGAGGGCCAAGTTTGGGGATACCTGGCTTAGACTAGCAAATTGGGATTACAAACCACAGTTTGAAGTTAGTTTAAACCAGGCATAGGCCAACTCAGCCCCCCAGATGTTTTGAGACTACAACTCCCATCATCCCTGACCACTGGTCCTGTTAGCTAGGGATGATGGGAGTTGTAGTCCCAAAACACCCGGAGGGCCAAGTTTGCCTATGCCTGGTTTAAACCATACTTAAGACTAATCACTGTTTCTCAGAGAATGGACATAGCAACAGATTGCTGTTAATTGGAAACAGAAACACAAGCTTCTAATCTCATTGTGGCTGCACCAGAGGAAGAGAGTGGAGAGGAACACACAACACCTACCCATTGCTTCTTGCTACAGTTGATTGATCTATATTTGACACATGCCAAACAATTTAAAAGATGATTCTGAAGAGATCATGAAAACGTTTCTGTGTTTCTAATGCTGTCGCTTATGTCCTAATCAGAAGTCGGCTACTTAACTGAGCAGTGAGTTTCTTAACTGAAACTAGAATTTAGATTTCTTTATTCTTTAAGTCTGTTTTTAGGTTTGCTTCCTCGCAGGGTTGACTGCTGCTAACAAAAGGATGTCTGCAGTTTTGAGCAAAAATACATTTAAGAAGCAAAATTAGAGATGAAGTTTCCCACTCTCCCACCCCAGTGAGGCTCTACAGGGCTAGCCCTGCCACAATTCATGTCACTTCTTGTTGTTAAGAGTAAAATGCTTCTTCCAAAATACGGATTCTAGTTTTAGAGTATTGTGGGAAAGAATTAAAAAGCAGCAAACGGTTCTTCTCTCCCTCTCTTTCTCCCCCCCCTCCTGTATCAGCATAACGCTGATATATAAAGCGATCCACTGAGGCTATAGTAAGGGAATAACAGCTTATTGTATCTGCTGAGAATAGGAGGAAAGCTGTTTAAATTGTGCTTTGGAGAAATACACTGTAGAACATATGGACAGGGCAATTATATTTGGCTAAAAAATAAATACCATATTATCAGTAGCTGTCATGGAGGTAACACATTGTTTTTGTTTGAAAGGGTTAATGCGTGACTGAGCTGGAATAAGTCACCATCAAAGTCTGCTTCAATAATATGCTTCATTAGCCGATAAATATAATCTGAACAATACTAGAGTCACTGTACTGGGCATGTAAAAATGGACTGAATCAGAAATTCATTGCAACATAAGCGTGGGCAGATATGAAGCAGCAGCAAAACAACACTGAGTCATCTACCTTGTGTAAATAAGCCCTCTGACTCAACTCCCCCTCATCTGTCTTTCTTTATAAAGATAATCTACCATGCCTTCACTTAAAAAGCAGGTATATTCTCTGCTTGTAATTTATGAATAGAACAGGAACAAAACTATAATTAAAAAGCCTGACATGAAACCAATTTTCTGTTGCCACTGTTCATTGAGTTCATTAGCATAGTGGCAGAACCGGAGAAGAATTGGTATGCAGAGAAATAAGCAAGAGCCAAATCTTTCCCTGTATATTGCATTAGACTTAGAACAGTTTTTTATTATGGGACTTTGGGAAAATCAGTTTTCCCCAGGCTGTGCTCTCCATCTGTGAAAGCGAAATGTTGAGCATTTGCCTTGTGAGGGTGGATGTAAGAAATCTAATATTGCAACACTAAAGGGCAGTGTAAGTTTATGATGAAACTGGGGGGGGGGGAGCTTTATTGTGATAGGAAGCTTATCGAGCATAATATTCTGTGTTGTATATACTGTACAGTAGTACCTCTGGTTACGAACTTAATTCGTTCCGGAGGTCCGTTCTTAACCTGAAACCGTTCTTAACCTGAGGTACCACTTTAGCTAATGGCGTGATTTCTGTTCTCATCCTGAGGTAAAGTTCTTAACCGAAGGTACTCCTTCCAGGTTAGCGGAGTCTGTAACCCAAAGTGTTTGTAACCCGAAGTGTTCAAGGTACCACTGTACTGAGATGTAAAAGTAGAGGGCCAAGGCAGTTGTGCCAATGGGGTCTGAATATGTGACCATGTCATGGACTGGCTGGAGGCAGAGGAGTGGTGGGAGGCACTAGCTGGAAAACCCCCCAGGGAACCCCCAGGGGAAGAAGGCTGAGAGCCAGGGGAGTTGGTGGTGGGGTGACAATTAGTGGTCAGAGGGAGGAGGAGTAGTCAGAGGCAAAATAGGTAACAGGGTTTAGTGAGCAGGAAGAGGCTGTGTCAGAGAGCAGTTCAAACTCTGTGGGAGAAGCGGAGGCTGGAAAAGAGTGGGACCAAGAGGCAGCGATGAGGCAGGTTGGTGAAAATCCAAGGAGAATCCCCCTCCTTCTGCGACCAGCTGCCCTCTCTCCTGGTCTCCTAGAGCCCATTTCTCCTAGAAAAATGGAAAGGGAAGAGCAGAAAGTGGTTGTATGCAGATGCAGCCTGCAACTGCTTCGGATAGACAATGGAGAGGAGGAGCCTTATAGGACGGCGGGAAGGTGGGGACCTTCAGTCCTTGCAACTGAATCATTGGGGCAAGACCTACTTGTGTAGCTAACTAATGCATCCGGTCAGCACAAGGATTTACACTTGGACAACATAACTTTCTCCCTTGTCTCCCTGCACATGCCCTATGCCCTCCCCAAATCTGCTCTGGTGGGTGGGGTGTTCTGTTGCACTATAGGAAATCCTTGTGCTGACAGGACATGTTAGTTGGATGCCACCTATTGTCTTCTTTTTCCAGATAAGAGGGAAAAGGCTTGTGCAAAATGCTAGATCGTACCTTATGCGGAAATATTATCTTTCAAATGCAATTACAATGTGGTCACACAGTACTTTCCCCCCTGTGCTATAGCAGGCAGTTGATATTTTCAATGAGTTTTCTATTGTGTCCCATGCTTCCTGTGTCAAATCTAGTTTAGACTTTAATATAAAGGTCACTTGCAGCATTTAGGAAGTTGGAAAATAAATTGTCAAGGCTTGAAAATTCAGTCTTGCTGCATTAAACTGGATTGTTTTTGTTGTTGTTGTTAACTTTAAGATAGTCTGTGAATTTCCAGTAGTGACAGTTTCAGTATATGTGGTCCCTGTAAGCAATATGATATTCCTGAACTCGTAGAACACTATAACATGTAATTATAGGAGAAAAAAATGAATGAAGGAATTACTAAAAATCTACAGCAACCCTGTAACATAGTTATAGTTGTTGTTTAGTCGTTTAGTTGTGTCCAACTCTTCGTGACCCCATGGACCAGAGCACGCCAGGCACTCCTGTCTTCCACTGCCTCCCGCAGTTTGGTCAGACTCATGTTTGTAGCTTCAAGAACACTGTCCAACCATCTTGTCCTCTGACGTCCCCTTCTCTCTTTCCCAACATCAGGGTCTTTTCCAGGGAGTCTTCTCTTCTCATGAGGTGGCCAAAGTATTGGAGCCTCAGCTTCACGATCTGTCCTTCCAGTGAGCACTCAGGGCTGATTTCCTTAAGAATGGATAGGTTTGATCTTCTTGCAGTCCATGGGACTCTCAAGAGTCTCCTCCAGCACCATAATTCAAAGCATCAATTGTTCGGCGATCAGCCTTCTTTATGGTCCAGCTCTCACTTCCATACATCACTACTGGGAAAACCATGGCTTTAACTATACGGACCTTTGTTGGCAAGGTGATGTCTCTGCTTTTTAAGGTGCTGTCTAGGTTTGCCATCGCCTTTCTCCCAAGGAGCAGGCGTCTTTTAATTTCGTGACTGCTGTCACCATCTGCAGTGATCATGGAGCCCAAGAAAGTAAAATCTCTCACTACCTCCATTTCTTCCCCTTCTATTTGCCAGGAGTTGATGGGCCCAGTGGCCATGATCTTCGTTTTTTTGATGTTGAGCTTCAGACCATATTTTGTGCTCTCCTCTTTCACCCTCATTAAAAGGTTCTTTAATTCCTCCTCACTTTCTGCCATCAAGGTTGTGTCATCTGCATATCTGAGGTTGTTGATATTTCTTCCGGCGATCTTAATTCCGGCTTGGGATTATAGTTATAGTATAATAGTATAATTCTAAATATATTTTCTGTAGGCAAGCAAGAAAAGATCAATTTTAATCAATAAAAGAAATGCTAAGCCTTGTTTACAGAGAGTTTCTAAAGGGCATTCTAAAAATCTCTTCCCCTGGGAAGTCTTCATAGTGTATTATTGACAATTCATTAAGAGGGCAGATTTTGTTTTTCTGTTGTGTTTCTATAGGTATAGCAAACTTTGATTCTACTTATTTTGGGTCATAGGTCTTGAATAATACCGAGTTTCCTCATCCTGAAGAGATGGTTAATGGAAAATATTCCAGTTTTAACCATTTAATATTTTATTATAGTTATTGGTAAGGTTTAGAAACTGCTACCACATAGTGGAACAGGTATACTTTCACTGTTTGAAATCATCAGCAGTATTCCAGTTCTTTCTTTCTTTCTTTCTTTCTTTCTTTCTTTCTTTCTTTCTTTCTTTCTGGTATTGGCTTTGTTTGACTCATTTTCTGTTCAGACTTGTATTAGACACCTGGGAACCTTAAGGTCAGCATTCTTGAATGACATTTCCATTACCAACTGAAGGACATCTTTTCAAATAACAAAAGCTATATTTAGATGGTAGAATTTAGACAGAATGCCTAGTGGTATTGGGGTGTGTGGATTTTCATCTGGCTATCTGGATCCTTTATCCTCACCTTTTAATGGTATTTGACTAAAATCCTACATGTCCATTCTGTTCACAGAAGCGTGTTCCATCTAGTGGTAGCTTCCACTAGCAGATTCTCATCAATTTCCCCTCCTCCCTGAAATGCCTCATGTCTCCCCAACTCACACACTTTTTGAGAGTTTCCCAACCTTTTGGAAAAGATTTCCTTGGGAAATCTGAGAAGACCCATGAAAAGCAGCAGGACATTGACATAATTTTATGTCTATGGACTTTGTGTGACTTTCTTTGGATTTGAGTTACTAGTTGTCTCTGTTCTTTTGTTGGTAACATTGCAAAACTCTTATGGCTGGGAATATTACTGTCTCTTGCACCATATAACTATGTGCAGTGGATCCAGCATTCATTTTGATCCTTTACACTGGGAGTGGTGAACCCTACAACCTATGAGTTGGATCTGACTTGCCAAGCCTTTAAATGTGACCCACTTCCCCTCATGAGGCTGGCTTCCACCAAGAGTAGAAGACTGCTGTGCTTTGGATGGAAATAGTCCTTTCTCTGAGCTGGAAATCTCTCCCATCTTTATGCTGGGCTAAGTGGAGATGGGGAAGTTGCAGTTTGTGGATGATGCATGCCTGGATTAACAATTTATATGTGTGTGTTTTGAAACGAGTTTGTGGTGAGTAAAGTGCATGCATGCAACAGCAGTTGCACATTCAGAGACCACTTTGGCCATAGTCAGGCATGTGTCCCTCATGGTTTTCCATTTTTGAATTGCAGTCATTGGACTGGGGGGAAAAAGTTATCCACCCCCTACTTCCAAATTATGTTTCATTAAAGTACGGATTACTCCAGTTTTATGCATAGTCTTCTGCTGCAGTGTCTTGTGTGGATGAAGGGGAAAGTAGCGCTCTCCTAACTGGCAACTGGGGCAGGCCCAAAGGCAGCAGGTATTCTGGAAGTGAGATGAGATGCTTGTAACAACAAGCAGCTGGCTATGGGGTGAAGCTGAGTGCTTTGTGTGACACTTTCCCCCCACCTACATCACCAAAAAACAGACTCAAAGGCTGTTTTCACAGTACTCTGAATTGTACTTAGTTGAGAGCTTTCTAGATTCGTTTTGCTTTCACATGCAGCAGATTCAAGGCAGGGCCCTTGTGTGATCAGATGGATAATAGCTCTAATTATGTGGTATAATCAGCACTGCATACTGCTTTAGATACTTTAAAATATGAAGCAGTATATAAATATTCTTAAACAAATGAATTTGAAGCAAACAGCGGAAACACATCCAAATGCTGTTCTGCAGAATTTGACGTTGTGAAAGTTGCTTTTATGTCAGGCTATGTTCAAAGGTGTGTGCAGCTGCTAGCAACTGTGCAACTCTTCCGCAGTCTTATATGGTAGCTGGTTTTCTTTGTGTTTTTGATACAAGTTGTGTGTGTGCTGTATTTACTAAAACTGTTTATACATTTTAAAATTGCATAACACTAGCATGTTAGGCATCCTGACAGAAACCTCATCTGAGCTCAAAACAAATGCATTAAAACCAGGATCTCATCTGCTACGCTTTGCTCTTTAACAAGTGATACGTGGTTGCCTTTTTTCCATCTATTCTCTTGGATTGGGGTGTTTCTGTGCCTCAGACAATTTAAACTTCTGGAGGCATGAACCATGTGTCCTGAACTTGAGTGCTTCCAAGTACCTAAGGACAATCAACTCTGAACTGAACGTTCTGAACTAATTTCAGCAAGTGCCTGATATATTCCAGGTAGACAGTGTTCTTTACAGTGGTGCCTCGCAAGACGAAAAGAATCTGTTCCGCGAGTCTCTTCGTCTTGTGGTTTTTTCGTCTTGCGAAGCAAGCCCATTAGCGGATTAGCGCTATTAGCGGCTTAGCGGGCTTAGCGGATCAGCTGATAAGCGGCTTAGCAATCAGCTGTTTAGCAGCTTAGCGGATCAGCTGTTAAGCGGCTTAGCGATCAGCTGATAAGCGGCTTAGCGGATCAGCTGTTAAGCGGCTTAGCGGATCAGCTGTTAAGCAGCTTAGCGGCTTGGGAAAAAGGGGGGGGGGGGAGAAAAAAACCCTGCAGGAACTCGCAAGACATTTTCGTCTTGCGAAGCAAGCCCATAGGAAATTCGTTTTGCGAAGCACCTCCAAAACGGAAAACCCTTTCGTCTAGCGGGTTTTCCGTCTTGCGAGGCATTCGTCTTGCGGAGCACCACTGTATTTGAAAAAGTTATTATTGCTATATTTTTATATTGCCCTTTGTCCAAAAAGTTCAGATCAACATGCATGTTCTCCTCATATATTATTGTAACCTACTGAGAGGTAGATCGGGCTGATACACATCTCATGCCGATAAAATGGTATGAAACTAAGGTTATATCTGCATACTTGGGGGTGGATGCAGATTATCCCTTCTATAAACTCCTTCTAGTTTCTAAAGGGACCAATCCAGTGAAGGCTGCCACAGTAGAAGGAGGAAGGGAAGCAATTGTCTGTTCTCCCCAGGCCACCCCCGCATCACTTCCTCCAGCTTTGCAGGGGTCAGTGAAAATATCCTTTGCCATTCCTCCACAGGAGCAGCCCAGGCGTGGAGTGCTGCCCATGGGAACCGTGGATCTAAGTCAATTTGTTTACCTAATGAATAACATTTGCTTTTTAGGTCCCTATATATGTATATCATTTCTTTCTCTCTCTTTTTTCTTTTTTGCAGGTCTGTTTTCTAAAAAGAAAGTCCCGGATAATTATTCCAAAGAAGCAGTTCCCAGGTACTATTCCAAGACACCATTATCATTTTTATAAAATCTTTGTAAAGCTCTATTTTACATAAGCTTCAGTAACAACTAGCAGCTCTTAGGTGACCCGCCTACACAGTTCCATGAAATAGCTGCAGTACGGTGATCATTGTTACACTATTTAATGGCATGAATAACAATTCAGTAATTTCTAGGGGGCTGGGATTCTTGGTACATTTCCCACTCCACCACTTGGTGGAGTGGGAAATGGGCAGCTAAATTCTACTACAGTAATTTCAAATTATAAACAAAACAAAGTAACTCAACGTTTGTTCTATGTGATGGTGCCTTTCAGATTAAAGTAAACTAAGTTAATATCAATCTTTTCGTGCGACTGCCAGAGTTTTGCTCACAAGCTTCGTTAGTTAGTGGAATGTTTTCAAGTGCTTTTAGGCATATTTCTTCAGCAAACAAATGAAGACGGAGGCAGATATATACATGCATTGTTTCAAAAAGATTAATAGGTTTTCCCCCTAATATTTCAGTTATGATTGGTTCCAGACAGATGGTTCCATCACCGTGGTCATATACACTAAACAAAAGGTAGAGAATTGCTTTTTATATTAAAGAATTTTGAAAACTGTATACTTGTTTTTCCAATATATCATTTAGTAGCTCCATTTGTATCCAGCCTTTGCCCCAAAGAGCTCAAAGCAACGTACTTGTTCTCCCCCCACATTTCATCCTCATAACAACCCTGTGAGGTAGGATAGACTAAAAAATAGTGACTAAATCAAGGCCACCCTGTACATTTCGTGGCTAGCTGGGAATTTGAACTCAGGTCACCTTGGCCTTCGCTCCTCCAGCTCCCTCATTAACAGCTGTCCGGAGTTGTTTCTTGCTTCTCCATATGCTTGAAACTGCCTCCAAGAACACTTCTGTGGGCTCACTTGCCACTGCGGTGTAGTGGTTAAGAGCGGTAGTCTCGTAATCTGGTGAACCAGGTTCGCTTCCCCACTCCTCCACATGCAGCTGCTGGGTGACCTTGGGTCAGTCACACTTCTCTGAAGTCTCTCAGCTCCACTCACCTCACAGAGTGTTTGTTGTGGGGGAGGAAGGGAAAGGAGAATGTTAGTCGCTTTGAGACTACTTCAGGTAGTGATAAAGCGGGATATCAAATCCAAACTCCTCCTCCTCCTCTTCCTCCTCCTCTTCCTCCTCCTCTTCCTCCTCCTCTTCCTCTTCTTCTTCTTCTTCTTCTTCCTCCTCCTCCCTCTGCCCTCCTTCTGTACCAAAACCAAGCTTAAGTATGTGGAAGTGAAGTGCCTTCTTCAACCATTTACCCTCACCTCCTCCTTCCTGTCTTCTTTCTTGGCTCCTCTTGATAGGTTCAGATTGAAAACTCTCCACTGTGGAGAACTCTTGTTACTTTGTAAAGTGCTGTGCGCGTTGATGGTGCACTATTATAATAAAAAACACTTCAATTTTAACAACCACTTTGAAAAACCTTCATTTTCCTTCCTCTGTAAGGATATGAACAGTGAGTTGGTGATAGCTGATCTTCAAGAACGTAAACTGAGAGGAGAGCTGATTGTGAAAGACTACTCGTATCTTTTACATCTCGGTAAGGACTTTACTGGCAAATTCTTTATTGCAGAGGTGTGCATGTAATTATATACATGTAATGTATGCACATATACACCCATACATAAATGCAGTTCAGCTGCATTAAAATCCCGCAGTGATAAGAGTGGAATGTGTATTGTACTCAAGCCATGGTACCCCATGAATGCTTTGTACTTGGTAGGCATAGCCAGAGGTCAGGGTTGATGGGAGTTGTAGTCCAACAATGCCTGGAGAGCACAGGGTTGGGAAAGGCTGGTATCTGTATACCGGAGTCTAGACTCCAAAGATGTGAAATATGTTGAGGGAGAGACTTGTGCATTCAGTTGGAGTTTCATTCCTGCATGCAGTTGTTCTGTTCCTTAAGAGTAGCTAGTGTTCATTTTTAAAAGCATCTTTCCTCTCCAGCGGAAAGTGAAGAGAAAATTCAAGTGATAGACTTTGGGCACCATTAAAGGGCACCATTAAATTGTCAGATACAGTGGTACCTCGGGTTAAGTACTTAATTCATTCCGGAGGTCCGTTCTTAACCTGAAACTGTTCTTAACCTGAAGCACCACTTTAGCTAATGGGGCTTCCCGCTGCTGCTGCACCGCTGGAGCACGATTTCTGTTCTCATCCTGAAGCAAAGTTCTTAACCTGAAGCACTATTTCTGGGTTAGCAGAGTCTGTAACCTGAAGCGTATGTAACCCGAGGTACCACTGTATTGAACTTTGTAAAACAGAGTGACTGAGTGCAAGTGCAGGATGCTCCATCTAGATCAGATCATCTCTACTGAGTGATAGAGGCTTTCCAAGCTTTCCAACAGGAGCTTTCCCCAGCCTCTGCTGGAAATGTTGGAGACACTGTGAATGTAATGCACACTTTCTACCATTGAGCTTTGACCTTTCCTCTTAATAGAATGAAGCTCCAGCTGTGTGCACACACCAGATACGTGGATCCTTGATTTATGACTAGTTTTATCATGAGTCTCCATTTGTAAAGTTTTAGTTTTCTTTTAAATGTATCTGTTGTTTTTCTGTTTTAATTTATGTGTAAATCACCCCGAGACAGTGGTTTATAATGTGATTAGTAAATTGGTTGCAATATGAGGCTCAATTGAAGTATAACAGCAAGCAATAATTTGGCACTACATGAAAACAGCCTTTAGTTTGAACGTGCAATTCCTCCTTCCCTTTGTGCTGCAGTTTCTTCCCTCACTTCCTGTTTGCCACCAAACCAAAAGATGCTGTTGCGTATTTCCAATTCTGGTTTCAAAGCAAACTATGCTTAGTGCAAAGGGAGGGAATTGCCTCCTGGCAAGGAAAAGGGGAGAAGGGAGCATGCACTTCCAAGACTTGAATATGTACTGTCAAGCAATGCCTATATATTAATTTAATGGAACTTTGTGGTATAGCTAATTATTTGGGTTTTCCATTGTAGAGAACCTCATAACTTTATTTAAATGATGAAATGCAAAACTCTAAAGCTTTGCATTTTCCTGACACCTGTACATTTAATGGTTATTGCTACTCATAATAATCGACGTAGAGAGACACTTGGTTTTTATTAAATCAAAATATATACTTCTGTTTTAGAACTGAGTTATGCAGTTCATGAGGATATGATAGGTAAGCAAGTACATCCTCTTACAGTCAAAACATTTGTGCTTTTTTTGCTCTGACTTGTTAGTATATTCAGTATCTGATCACTTTTTTCAGTAATATTACTACTAGTGCTGTCACCGAAATCTTACATAATGCAAGAAATGTAACATATTTCTTGTATTTCTATGTATTTATTGTGCTGTATATTAAGTACAGGTAACTCGCAGCTTGCGCACATTTAACTTACACGCATTCAGCTTTTTACTCATGGCCAAAAAGTTTAAAAGGGGGCAAAAAGGGGGTGGGCATCTGGAATCCCACCTGCTGTTGAACCCAGTGTGTTTTGACTATGTGCAATTTTTGACTTTAAGTGCCATCCGCAGAAGTGTAAGTTGAGAGTTGCTCGTACCTTCCAGATGACTGTTTGAGAAACTTAAATACTTTCCCTGTTCTAACATCATGTTAACTCTTGTGCTAATCAAGACTGCAGAGCCTTAGCAAGTATTTGTTGGCATAGCAATTCATATGATTGGATTATAATCTTAGTGTGTTGTGTATGGTTCACCACACATTGATGCATGCCTATATGAAAACAATGTTAGATGCACATGGTGCACCATTGAAGTTAAACTGGTTTAGCTTACTGTAGCAGCATGTTAACTTAAGAACTGAGAGTATCATCTTGCATCAGCTTCTTTGCAAAGCTTACATTTTATGTTAGTTATCTTATTCATTGTAATGCATTTCATAGCTGTCAAGATTCTTGAATGACTGTATCTTAATGTCTTTTGAGTCTCTTGAGAGTTTTCTTTACCAATGAACAGTTTGAAAGAAATGCTTTTCTGCTCATACAAGTGTTTTCTGTTGATTTTTTTTTAAAAAAACCCCTTTAATGCTGCATTAAAGACCCCTGTGCCATATTGCAAACTACTTTTGAAATTCACTTTACTTTAGAAACAGTCTGTCATTCTACATGAGCGCTGCTGTTAAGAAGGAACCAGCCAAAAGCTTCCTTATATTGCTGTTCTTTTTGATTCAGGCTACTCTATGTTGGGTCCTGTAACAATGATCTGTTGTCCTTTGAATATAATTTGTCCTTTATTTATTTATTTATTTGCTTGCCATATGTAAAAATCTCTTGTTGAGCGTGCATCTGCTATCCTCTCATTCAGATAAAAACTGCAAAATGTGGTATTTAATCAAATGCTTTTCACATTCTGACTATTACTGCTTACATATCTGTTCCACCTCTCTGTATCAGGCAGCTCATGGCAATATTGGTACATAAGGAGTTCAGGCACTGACTAGCCCAAATCTGTTTAATTTCAGCAAAGTAGCTGTGTTTCATTCTTTCAGCTGCTGCCCTGCAGTTTTATTGTGTCTGGAGAATATCCAACTACCATCCGCGGAGAAGACTCATTGAAATGAATGACCATTTCTTTCAGTGGGTCTCCCAAGGGCTTTACTCCCTCCCTCTCTCTTTAATAATAAATTGAACAGAGGCAGGTTGTGAACGCTGTAATTACATTTTTTGTACAAAACGACATGTATGTATTAGTATAGAACAACACTCTGTGTATTTTTAGTACAGGTCTCTGAAAAAGTGGGAAAGGTGGAATTTGTCCTGAAGAAGAAAGAAATTCTGTCTTGGAAAAAACTTGGACAGCCATTGGAAAGTCATAACTCCTTTGTCAAACGCACAGAGAGAGGTAATTAGTTTTGCTGCCATACTCATGACTGATTCTCAGCACACCCAAAATCAGGAGACAAAATCAGATTGCTGTTCAAGGTCTGCAGCATAGTCAGAATGACTATGTTTAAGGATGTATTATAGTCTTTGCAAAAGCATTGTGTATACCTGTGTATAATATGATGGCTTTGTGTTTTCATTGTACCTGCAAAATGTACTGTCCATGATAATAAAACCTCTCTGTATCCCCTCTTCTCCTCAGCTGCCTAAAAAATTTATGCAGAGTGCAAAGTATCTCAGTTATGTTTCAGATTCTTATATAATGTACCGTATTTTTCGCCCCATAGGATGCACTGGCCCATAGGATGCACCTAGTTTTGGGGGGGGGGGAAATAAAGGAAAAAATTTTTTATTTCCCCCTCAGGTGCACTGCGCTAAGCCCGAAGCTTGGGGCGTGCGGAGCTCAGCGCGCCCCAAGCTTCTGGGTGCTGGCAAGCTCTCCGCTAGCCCTGGGAGAGCTGGGTCTCCCACGGCTAGCGGATAGCTTCCTGAAGCCTGGAGAGCGAGAGGGGTCGGTGCGCACCGACCCCCTCACTCTCCAGGCTGCAGCGAAAGCCTGCATTCGCCCCATAGGACGCACACACATTTCCCCTTCATTTTTGGAGGGGGGAAAGTGTGTCTTATAGGGCGAAAAATACGGTATTTGGAAACCAAAAATGCAATGATTCAAAAATGCCATAACCTTTACATGGGACCAGATATGATAGCTAAAATTTTCATATTAGCAGGAATCTGTTGTTGCTGTATTAATAACTAATTTTAATACCAATAATGGTTGAAGCATAAGTTGTTGACTTTTCAAGTGATAAAGGCATGAGTAGATATTTTGCATAACTTTGGTTTGAGGATCTGGGGATTTTGTTCTAGTCATGGAAGAAGAGTTATGCACACAGAAGTATCTCTTTAGATCCATGGAATGTGAACATTTGAGTGGCCTGAATTGAATTAATTACAGTTTCTGTATTTTTAAGGTCTGTATTACAGAAAATGCAGATTGCTGTCAAAGACAAATGTCAGTCATGACACCCAACTCTTTTGTTTAGCATTACCGCTGGGAACCCATCTCCTGGTCCCTGTTGGGCACCATGTTTACCTCAGACAAACTATTACAGGTAATGTAATGAAAGATCCTTTGTTATTTCCTAGAATATATTCTAATTCTGTTGTGGTGTTGTTGTTTTAAAAAGGAAAGGCACACAAATGATCACACAAGTTTATCACTTACCTTCTTAAATGAAAAACACGTTCCGCCCTAATTAAATAGATAATGCTCAGATGTCTCAATTGTTGAAAGGTAACCATATACTGTGGAATTAAAACTCTATTTTATAAAGGTTCCTTTCGCAGTGTTTTGTGTATGAAGATGTCCACTACTTTACACCTCACCAGAAAGAATTTGCAATGTCCAGCCAGTTTAATCTTGCATAAAATAGGATAATACCCAGTTGTGTTCCTCTGCTCATAGAGGGGCTTTATTATGCAGAAGAGGGAAAGAAGCCATTTTTGCAAATCCCTTATTTCTCCTACAGACATCCCCCCATGCCACCTACCACACTATTTGAGAGGGTCCCCCAACCTCCAGAATGCATTGGGGGTGTTCAGGAGGGATTGCTGTGGGAAGGAGGAATCAACAAAAATAGCTCCCCCAACTCTGTTATCAGTGGCTCCCGCTGGATTAAAGTGTGCAAGTGGAGAAGCTACAGGGAGAAAATGACAAGCAGTTCTGAATGGGAAGAAAGGTGATATTCTATTTTCGTTGAGCGTTGTGCTTTTTCACAGTCTAAAAAAATAGGTTTTAGCAACTAGACAAAGATAATAGCCAACCTTAAAAGCTGCATTTGTTACAAGTACCAGGATAAAAATACATCAGTGCTGAAACTCAGCCCATCAGCTTGTAATTATTAAGTCAGCTGACAGCATGACTTCTTTTCATAAGCACTAGTAAGCTGCTTTTGCTTTTTAAAAAGTCACTCAGATGGTATTCAAAACTTCTTTGTTTAGCCCATTTATACACACATGGTCAGGTATGTTGAATATTCAGTTTATTTAGAAAAGGGGTAAGGGCTTCTGGCCCATATGACTTCCACACTTAGCAGGAAGTAATTGCATTATTTGTAAGAATATGTGATTTGACATTGATGGTTGACTCTACTAAAAGGGATTGTTTCTGTGAATATTAAATGTTGAATTTTCTTCTACTTCTTTTCCTCAGGCACAGAGATAGTGAAGCCATATACACCAGTGCCATCTTTCTTGGTGTCTACATTCAAAAACCCCTGTCATGATGATCAGTTGCATATATTTTTCATAATCAAAATTTACCCAAGTGGACTATTCACACCAGTACTTGATGCCCTACAAATAGGTAAGTGTTTGCTTTCTTTCCTTTTCTCGCGCTCTTTCGGGATATTCTAAAACAGTGTTTGTTGCTATAAATCTTGTGAAAGTTTCCATTTTAATTTTTTTTAATGATATGTGTCAGCGGCTGCCTCAGGTCCCAGCTCACAAAGGACCAACACCAGTTGCTCTTTATAAACAAAAGTCTTTATTGTGGTTCATTGTTGGTTTGACATCCGTGGCGCGCAGCGCTACGTCTGAGTCCTTAGACCGGCGAAGTCCCGTCTGAATCCGCCCCTCCTTTACACCAGTTCAATACCGAGCTTGCTCCACTCTTCCTTTCCTCCTCTGGCTTCCTTTCGCCTCCGGGTCCTCCTGCCCTCTGGGGTCCCAACCCTCCGACTCTTCGGAGGCGGATTCTTCTGACTCCTCCCCCTGTCTCCGGCAGGCTTTGGACCTGGCTCCAATCCGGATTTTCTGCTGTCCCTCGCGCCTCTACATTTGAACTTGGCGCTCGCGCCCAGCCGCCACTTTCCTCCTAACGGCTACACTGCTCCCTTCACTGCTTTCTCCTTCAGGGAGGCTGGACG